AGTCTTAGATATGGGAGTTATTTTGTAGATGTGTATCTTGGGACAATTTGATTGCCTTGGTATTCTGTAATCATCTTCTCTGTGGTTTCCGTGATGAGTGGTGAGATCCACAATTATCTCTGGGTATAAAGCCACCAAATATTTAGAATATAGTTAGGGATTATATTGTAAGTATTCCTTCAAGATCCATGAGTTTACTAGAAATGCAAATTCTATACCCATAAAGTCTCACCAACATGATGGTCTCAACATGAGTTGAGCAAAGACAATAACAATAGATATATTAATATGGACAGGGAAAAGCTCAGAGATACTCATTCCTTTACAAAGAACTACAGGCAACTAAGGAATCCTGAAAACCCCAGGGTGGAGCCATATTAATATAGACAGGGAAAAGCTCAGAGATACTCAGTCCTATACAAAGAACTACAGGCAACTAAGGAATCCTGAAAACCCCAGGGTGGAGCCTACTAAATGTCTATTCAATACCAGACTGTCAGCCCTGAAAACATACATGCTAGTAACACTATACAGACTGATCAGGTGCTGCTTATGTATTTAGAAATATGTATTTAATAACAATTAGTGAAAATGGAGGTCATGAATTTAAGGGAGAGCAAGGTAGGGAGGATTTGGATGGAAGGAATGAAAGTTGTAAATGCTATTATTATGTCATACTCTCAAAAAATAAAATACATTTTAAAAGGTGGTGAGGGTAGCTACAGTTGATTCATGAGACTGCTTTTGGAAAATTGCCAGATATTGCTCAGTTATTCCTCTTATCTTGAAAACTCTTTTACAAGACAGGTAAGAAGTTAGCTGCTTCAGTTTATCCCTACTGGCTAGTTTTCATAGAACTCAATGCAACCAGGGAGAAAAGTAAGCAACAGTCTTACCCAGCTGTGAACCCTGTAAACTACAATAATGGCTGGCTTGGTAAGATATGCACACTTATGTTATAGTGGTGTGAATGCTATGGGAGTAACTAACCACATTCTGATTGGATTTAAGGCCTGCTCTACAAGGTAGAACTCATTCTTGGTACAGTTAATTGGGTCAAAAACATCACTGCCTAAGTCATACGGGAAACACTAATATAATTACTCTCCTACCTGGGCATGGAAGCTCACAATGAATCAAGGCAATAAACTGGACTTCAAAATCTCACTATTGGAGAGATCAAGAGAATTCACTGGAAATTAAGTCCAGAACAAATATATAATATATATAAATTGTTCCTTAAGTACTAACCCTTATACCCATAGAATAAGACATCTTTCAACCCTTATCTCAGAAGCTTCTTCTTTTGCAAAGATTCCAATAAATACAAAGACTTAAAACTTGTCAATGTACAGAGAATTAGATTGTGTCAGCTCTTAATGGGACATCTATGTCACACCTCCTTATTCCAAGACTCAAGGATCATTTTGGTAGAAAGGGTGAAAATATTATGAGAGACAGAAGTAGTGGACATCTACAGCAAAACAGTATTTGCCATGTATGACAGAGCTGTTGCATACATAAAGTCGCAGCAGTTGTGACTACATACCCAATACCTATGCAAGATCTCTCCAATAGTAAGATTTTGAAGTCCAGTTTATTGCCTTGATTCACTGTGAGCTTCCATAGGTGGGAAAGCAAGAAAGGATTCAGGAAACTATAGTACCTTTTCCTCACCATCTGGTAGCGGGGGATACCAATTATCTCTTCCTTTCAAGATCACATAGTCCATAATCTCTTTCACCCTCTTACCATTCCCCCCAAACTCCTCCCTCCTTTACCATCTGATTTTTGTGATCTTACTATGCTCAGGAATGTGAGCTTCATGAAATGATGCGGAGTGGCTCTGTGTCTGGCAGATGAGTGCAGGAATATTGAAATCTTTTTCATATGCAAAGCATTTTCAGTGTTTGTTATGTGCTGTGTGACTGAGAAGAAAAGACTAGACACAAAACAGCCTCTGCACTCAGGCTTGGTACAAACAGGACAGTGTAATGTGATGAGCACACCCGGAAGTGCAGGCAGACTTACTATGACATTGTGTGTGTGTGTGTGTGTGTGTGTGTGTGTTGTGAGACTGGGTGACCTTACAAAGAAGGAGGTGCCAGGTTCTGATTGACAAGTAAATCTAAAAAGAGCCAATAAAAACATACCAATTTAAAGGAATGTGTGTGAGTCAGAAATTCCTAAAAATCTTCCTAATTTCACATATGACCGAAAAAGCATTCAGAGGAAGAAGTTTTTTTGGGTGACTTTACAAAGAAGGAGGTGCCAGGTTCTGATTGACAGGTAAATCTAAAAAGAGCCAATAAAAACATACCAATTTAAAGGAATGTGTGTGAGTCAGAAATTCCTAAAAATCTTCCTAATTTCACATATGACCGAAAAAGCATTCAGAGGAAGAAGTTTTTTTCATTTTTTTATTTCATGTTACATTCTAACTACAGTTCTCCCTCCTACCACTCCTCCCACTCCCCCACTGCCACCCTCCCTCCTCATAACCCACCCCTGTCCACTGCTCCTCATGGACAAAGGCTCCTATGAGAAGTCAACACAGTCTGAAATAATAGGTTGGGGCAGGGCCAGGCCCCTCTCCCATGCATTAAGACTGTGCATGATATCCCACCATAGGGAATGGGTTCCAGCTCTCTCTGTAGATTTCTCCATCATGACCTTGACCTCCCTTGCTCATATATTTCTTCTTCTCTCTCTTTGACTGGATTCCTGAAGCTTGGCCTTGTTCTTGGTTGTGGATCTTTTCATCTAGTTCGATCAATTACTGGATGAGGGTCCTATGATGATAGTTGGTGTATTCATCAATCAGGTTATAGGGGTAGGCCAAGGCCAGTTCAGGCATCCCCTCTACTATTGCTAGGAGTCTTAGTTGTGGTCCTCCTTGTGGATTCTTGGGAGTTACTCTAGCACCAGGTTTATCCCTAAGCCCATAGTGGCTCTCTCTATTAAGATATCTCTTTTATTACTCTTCCTCAGTATCTCTCCCAACCTCAGTATCTCTTTCCCTCCTGTTCTCATCCCTCCTTCCCTCTCCCTTACCACCCCCAGCTTTCCCTATAGATTTCATCTAATTTCCCTTCCCAAGGTTATCCATTTGTCCCTCTTAGGCTCCTCCTCGTTACCTAGCTTCTATGGAGCTATGGGTTGTAATCTGGTTATCCTTTGCTCCATATCTAATATCCATTTATGAGTGAATACAATAACCTAATTGAAAAATGGGGTATAGAGCTAAACCAAGAATTCTCACCAGAAGAATCTCAAATGGCTAACAGACATTTAAGGAAGTGCTCAGCATCCTTAATCATTAGGGAATTGCAAATCAAAACCACTCTGAGATACCATCTTACACCTGCCAGAATGCCTAAGATCAAAAATACTGAGGATAGCTTATGTTGGAGAGCATGTGGAATCCAGGGAATACTCCTCAACTGATGGTGGGAGTGCAAACTTGTACAAGGAAAATAATAGAGTGAACTAATGGGAGCAGATGCAGAGACCCACAGCCAAACATTAGATAGAGTTTGGGGAACATCATGGAGGAGAAGGAAGAAGGATTCTAGAGACAGAGAAGCCAAGGACACCATGAGAACACAGAATCAACTACACAGGGCCCATAGGGGATCACAGAGCCTGCAGGGGGCTGAGCTACGTCCTCTCCATATATATGATTGTTGTTCAGCTTGGTATTTTTGTGGAACTCCTAACAGTGGGAGTGGGAATGTCTCTGACTTTTTGCCTGCTCTTGGGACCCTTTTCCTCCTACTGGATTTCCTCAGCCAGACTTGATATGAGAGTTTGTGCCTAGTTTATTGTAACTTGTTATACTGTGTTTGGTTAATATCCCTGGAGGCGGTCTGCTCTTTTCTGAAGGGAAAGGGAGGAGGAGTGAATTCTAAGGGAGATGGGAGATAGGAGAGGGACTAGGAGGAGTGGCAGGAGGAAAAACTGCAGATGAGAGCAGAATTGATTAAATAAAAGGATTTAAAGCGAATTTTATTCTTTTATTTCAATTCAAAATAACACTGTCAAATTCATAGCTGGATGCATTACAGGAAGGGAGAAACAAAGGAGGTGAGAAAAGGGAGGAAGGAAAGGAAAAAGAGAAGTGAATTGATGGAAGAAAGCAGAGAGGAGAGGAAGGAAAAGGAATGGAAGGAACAGGGGCTATCTCTGACTCTTTTGCTGGCTTTTGGAATACCATCCCTCATCCTGGGTTGCCTTGCCCAGCCTTAATACAAGGCAAAATGCTTAGTCTTACTACAACTTGATATACCTCGTTTTGTTGATATCCATGGAAGGCCTGTCCTTTTCTGAATAGAAACAGAGGAGGAGCTGATGAGGGGTGGAGCTGAGGAGAGCTGGGGGTAGGGACTGGGAGGAAAAGAAGGAGAAACTGGTCAGGCTGTAAAATAGATAGATAGATTATAGATAGATTTTTTTAAAAGAAAGGGAGGAGAGAAGGAAGAAACAAGGGAGGAAGGGATGGAGAGAGGGAAACAAAGGGAAGTAAAAGATACCAATATGTCCTTCAGTAGTTAGAGAGTAGGCCTTCTAAAAATCATGCAGTCTTCACTTATATGAAATCTTTCTGGTTCTCAAATGATCCCCAGATTTACTACTCCTCTCCTAAGTGTAACCTTACTTCATGGCATGTTACATGTTACATCCCATTAAGTAATCCAGAATAGCAAATGCCTTAGCCATTATTCTTCATTATACCATTGAAGTAACCCTCACACATATCTGAAGGAAAGTGTAGCTACAGTAAGTAATTCCTGTGACTCTTTAAGGAAAATTCCCACATATCACTCATTCCCCCATATATCAGTCTCACAAGGTATAAGCTAGCTCTTTCAACTCTACATGCTTGTTTCCCACAACTTATGTTCAGCAAAATATTAATTTAGACTTCTATTCCATATTTACTGACACTAGTTTTGAGCATATGTACTCTAGAATAGGTGAAGGCATTACCATTCATGATCTCAACTCCCAGGAATGTTCCCAGTAAAACTAATAATGAGTACATGAGTGTGTTCCACACTGACCTTGAAGTTCTCAGGATCCACATGAAGCTTGTCACAATGCAGCTCACTCAGATGAGCAAAAGTCTCCTTGAGGTTGTCCATGTTCTGAACCGCCAAGCCTAGGGATGTCAGCACTTTCTTGCCATGGGCTCTGATTCTGGGGTTGCCCATGATGGCAGTGGCAGAAGAGAGGTTTCCGAATTTGTCAAAGAATCTCTGAGTCCATGGGTAGACAATCAGGAGCCTAAAGCACAGGGCATTAGCCGTTAAAAGTCAGAATAGTCACAAACCCCTAAAGAAGCCTGGATGTTTCTGCCAAGCACAATATTCTCTCCATTCCTCCCCTGCCCTGGTCTCAGATCCTACCTTCCCAGAGTTTCTCCTCCAACTTTTTCCAAGTCCACTTTATCCCATATGCTTGTGATAGCTGCCTTCTCGTCAGCTGTGAAGTGAACCATGGTGTCAGGTCTAGAAGCTTGGAGAGACCACAGGTATGTAGAAAGGAGCAAGTGTATTCAAGTGGCTGAAGGCCTGCCCTTTTATTCTTCACCCTGGACCTTGGACCCTTGCCCCCCTCCCCAGGACTCTGAGGCTATTGGTCAAGAGAAGCTGGGCAAGACAAGGGTGGGGTCCAGTGGAGTAAGGTTTAGATAGCATTTCCACTAAGATAGCCTTAAGTAGGCCCCTTCCGTCCCTTGTGGGGGGAGACCCTCCTGCTCAAGTTTTCATAGCTTCTACTCTTTCTTTCCTTCTTTCCTTTCTTTGAGTCCCTTCTCCCCCAACAGGAGATTTGCAATGGTATCTTTCACACTCTTTCCTTTTAGTCTCTAGCCTTACAGCGGCCAGTACACTGAAGCCGAAGCATAGTCAGACACAGGACAGCCTCAGTGAGTATGAGGCTGTTTTTAGGCATGGGAATCAGGACCTGGGTATCAGAAATATGCCCCTTACTCAGAAGTCATGTATAACACAGAAGTGGTGTGCAAAACATTGCATTCATTTTCTATAGGTTTAAGCCATGATCTCCCTAGTTCCCTGGGTTCAGCCTTCTCTATCCACATGGCAGGTTGAGTACTAGAAAGTGGAATGATTAATCTGGCTTCAACTAGTCTCTGTTTGAACTTTTCTGAGTGTTCACAAAATAACCCTGAAGTAGCAAGGATGTTTCTATCCAGTAACAGTTCACATGTACTGTCACAGCTAGGACAGAATTATACATTAGGAACTACATTCCTAGTAGTGAATTTCTTCTATCAGCTTTCACAGATTTTTAGCTGCCTCAATGTAGTTGTAGATAGAGATTTTTATTAGTATGCAAGAACCAGTTCTGTTCTTTTAAAAGAAAGTCAAAAATAGAAGAAGCCATTTGTAGATATGCATACATATATTCCTTTAACTTCTATTTCCATGGTCTGATCTTGGTGGATATCTGGAAGTCCTGAGTCTAAGATTCCAAAGATCTTAACCAGTAATTCTCAGTTGCTCTTCAGCAGACTCTGGAGAAATCTATGATCCAATGTGTCTGAAAAATAACCACCATCTTCCAGAAACCTAAATACTGATCCAGGAATCATCTGCAGTCATTGTTGTCCTCAGATTTCTAGGGCAACTGTATTCTATCAATATATTGTCCTTTTATTATTGAAATATCTCATCATCAACTGCACGTACTGGCACATGTCTTTAATCCTAGCACTCAGGAGACAGAGGAAGTCACATCTTTGTGAGTATGAGGCCAGCACAATCTGCATAGCAAGTTCTAGGCCATCCAAGATACAGACTGTGACCTTGTCTATCATCCTGACCTGTATGTGTGAATATGTGTATGAATATATTAGGAGACATTTCTTGATTACTTTTTTCACATTGGAGTAGTAATGGGCACATCACGCTCTCAAACAAGTGGTAAATGTTTCTTCTTCCCACCACTGAATAATTACCATTCTTTGTCTGCTAACATCTAGAGCCAAAACATAAGTGATGGCAAGAAGAAGAAAAATAAATTGATAGAAGTGGTCAAGAAGAAAAAAATTGATAAAAGTGGGCATTGTTTCATCTATTGACAGACCCAATGAAAACCAAATTTGAGTGCAATATATCAAGACTAATTTTTTTTCTTAGTGCTGTATTGAAAGGTCAGCAGGACCAGAAAGAGCAATGTTGTCAATAGCCTGAAATTATAAGAATCATTCTTCCCTCATCTTTAAAGCAAAGACAACTTAAAATATCACCCACCAGTCATATCCTGACCAATCTATTAATCAAGAGAGGTGTAGCTCTCTAACATCTACCATTTAAAAAACTCAGACCTTGACATAACATTGACTCAGAACTTGAATGTCTTTGAGCAAAAAGTGTGATTCACCCTCATGAGTGTCTCAAGTCACTGCACACTTTGTTAGTTACACTGACTCAAGATTTGAGATTTTGTTTTCCACTGCCTCTTGTTTACTTCTCATATATTATGTAAATCTGGCACAGTGTCTGTCAAATCCCACCTTTGATCATCACTACTGATTGCCTTGTTTCAGCTCTTTATCTTAAACTTTTATATGATTGTGTCATCCAGTTCCCAAGAATTAAATTATTTTTGGATTTATAAGGAGAATATTTTTCTCAGTAGACCCAATTTCTTCAGTCAGTTTTCCTGAGACTGTTTATTGGTTACTAATCAATTCATTTAGTGTTTTTAGTTTAGTGGTACTGGGAATTAAATCTCTGGCATTCCACATGTTAGGCCAGTGCTCCACACTGAGCAGCATCCTGAGACCAGGATTTGTTATTTATTCTGAAGCAGCAACTCACTAAGTTCTTAGGTTGGCCTTGAACTCACTCTGTAGCTCAGGCAGTTCTTAAAACTGTGACACTTTGCTTAGCCTTTTAAGTAGTGGAAAGATAATTAGGCCTCACCAGGTTTCTTACCCATTATTGTTTCTCAATAAAGTACAAAATTGATGTTTTAATTATCAAGGTCCCTATTATCTAGTTTTGCCAATATTTCACCTTTTCAATACCCTCTAGTTTTATCAAACCATTAAGATCTAGTTCACTGGCTTTAGATTACAGAAATTTTTAGCTTTCATTTAGACTTCCCATGTATGAAATCATCATCCCCACTTGACCTGAGAAAGTTCAATTTATAGCCTTCATTGTTATCTCATTGCTCATCACAGTCTTACAGAAAATTACAGTGAACTGCATCTCTTACCTTTCTCAACTCAAAACACAAGCCTGCAATAGTGATTTCATTTAAACATTTTCCTAAATGTTCACTGCTCTCTAACAATTTGTCATTTTTTTTACAACCAATTTCAGAGGGCCCCTGAGAAAGTATCTGCTGGAAGATCTGCATTTAGAGCTGGAAAGATTATGACTCAGTGTTTAAGAGTAAATACTGCTCTAAGTGGAACTAAGTTGAGTTCTCAGCACCCATGGAAGGCGGCTCACAACCACCTGTAACTCTGGTTCTAGTGAGACCAGAGCTTCTGGCCTCCATAGACTCTTCCATTCACATGCACAAACCCAAACACAGACAAATACAGAGACACATGATTAAAAATAAAAATAAATCATTTCTTAAAATAGAAAATCTGAGCACATTAAGTACCTCAGCTTAAGCATTAGACCTGTCCAAAGCTTTGTCTTAATTAAACAATGCATATCACACCCTGCATGTTCTCATTTGCCATGCTTTTCTTCATCCTCTACACTAAGTTTTAGCAACTGGCACATAATTCCTTCTCCTTTGCTTTCCTATATGATAATTCTTCTTAACTCTTCACCCTCCCTGACACCATAAGAAGCTCTCAACTTCCTCTCCTGAGTCCAGATACAGTTTTCAAAGAAACTTGGATGTCCTGTAGTGTCTCTGCACTACCATCCGCCCATCAACACTCTTTCTTTAACACAAAAGTAAGGAACATACATGACAAAATATGACACAGGTTACTGAAAAGAATAAACTTTATTAAACAGAAGTTCTGATTTCAAATTTGAGCACAGTGGTCTTGTATAGGATGGGGCTGAGGGGTACACAGCAGTGCTGGTCATCAGGAAAGGGGGCTTAGTGGTACTTGAGGGACAGAGCATTGGCCACTGCAGCCACCAGCTTCTGCCAGGCAGCCTGTACCTCGACTGTAAATTCCTTGCCAAGGTGAGAAGACAGAACAATCACCAGCATGTTGCCCAGGAGCTGTGGGAGGAAACACAAAAATGAGAAAAGGGGATTCCGGAGAGAATTTACATGAAAAAAAATATGTTTAAGTTACTTTCCTTGAGAACTCCATTCCCCAACTACCTATCCACTCTAATGAGGAGGTTGGTTCAATTTCACTCTTCAAATGCACTCACTCCTTGCTCCCATTAAGCCTCCTCCAGCCTGTTTCCTTCTGTTTCCTCAATCCTACCGATGTCTCTTGCTTCTTTTCTTATTTGCCAATGGACTGGCTTCATAAATGCAGGATTTCTGTGACATGTTCACTACAAAGTAAGTCTCCAGCAATGGAGAAAATAGACACTCCTTATATTGCTCATTAGGATTGCAATTTTTTAGAAATTGGTTCATCAAACCAATAAGAAAAGTCTGTCTAGTTTTCTCTCATAACTTTCCTAAAGTGGCAATCATTTAGAATCCACAGTTCATCAAACCAATAAGAAAAGTCTGCCTAGTTTTCTCTCATAACTTTCCTAAAGTGGCAATCATTTAGAATCCACATAAATAATAAATTTCTCCTTCTCTAAAACAAAATGTCAATTACAAATGCTTTATCTACTTCCATGTGTGGGCTAATTAACTCCAAAGGCTGCTCCTTTTTTTTTCCTTTTGGTAGAGTCCCCGGCTTCATGTACCCTGAAAAAGCACTGTAACCACTGAGTTGTATACTGAGACACCACATGTCTCGAGTCCCCTGCTTCATGTACCCTGAAAAAGCACTGTAACCACTGAGTTGTATACTGAGACACCACATGTCTATCTAAAAAACTTATAGGCACATTTGCAAATTTATAGGAGAAGTTTCTATCAATTCATTAACACTAGATCTGGATGCACGTATTTTGAGATCTGGGCCAGCATAATCAGTCATGCTTTTCTTTCATTCCTAACAATTGAATTTATTTATTTATTTTACAACCTGATCTCCCTCCTCCCTCCTCTTCTCCCATTACCTCCATCCACCATCAACCTAGTGCCCCATCCACTCCTCCTCTATCCTTTTCTTTTCAGAAAAGATAGCCATGTTCTGAACCGCCAAGCCTAGGGATGTCAGCACTTTCTTGCCATGGGCTCTGATTCTGGGGTTGCCCATGATGGCAGTGGCAGAAGAGAGGTTTCCGAATTTGTCAAAGAATCTCTGAGTCCATGGGTAGACAATCAGGAGCCTAAAGCACAGGGCATTAGCCGTTAAAAGTCAGAATAGTCACAAACCCCTAAAGAAGCCTGGATGTTTCTGCCAAGCACAATATTCTCTCCATTCCTCCCCTGCCCTGGTCTCAGATCCTACCTTCCCAGAGTTTCTCCTCCAACTTTTTCCAAGTCCACTTTATCCCATATGCTTGTGATAGCTGCCTTCTCGTCAGCTGTGAAGTGAACCATGGTGTCAGGTCTAGAAGCTTGGAGAGACCACAGGTATGTAGAAAGGAGCAAGTGTATTCAAGTGGCTGAAGGCCTGCCCTTTTATTCTTCACCCTGGACCTTGGACCCTTGCCCCCCTCCCCAGGACTCTGAGGCTATTGGTCAAGAGAAGCTGGGCAAGACAAGGGTGGAGTCCAGTGGAGTAAGGTTTAGATAGCATTTCCACTAAGATAGCCTTAAGTAGGCCCCTTCCGTCCCTTGTGGGGGGAGACCCTCCTGCTCAAGTTTTCATAGCTTGTACTTTTTCCTCTGTCTCTCTTTCTTTCTTTATTTCTTTCTTCCTTTCCTTTGGTCCCTTCTCCTCCTAACAAGAGATTTGCAATGGTATCTTTCACACTCTTTCCTTTTAGTCTCTAGGCTTATAGTGGTCAATACATTAAAGCTGAAGCATAGGCAAACATGGGAAAGCCTCAGTGAGTATGAGGCTGTTTTTAGGCATGGGAATCAAGACTTGGGTGGCAGAAATACGCCCCTTACTCATAAGTGATGTATAAGAAACCATTGGATTCTTTTTCTGTAAGTTTAGGCCATGATCTCCCTAGTTGCCCACGGCCTCAGGAAAGCAGTTCCTACTACCTTTCAATTTCTGAGTAGGAATAGTTAACTGTTTTGTAGTAGAGGATGTCTCTGAATTTGCCTCTGTCATACTTTGAAATAGAGTAATCTGTTGTGTGTATATGACAGCACTTTCCACCCTGTGAATGCACTGTGTAGTCATGCAGCTGTCTTTCCCACTGTAAAAGGGTAACTACCTGGTGATGCAGGATGTGGGTTCAGCCTTCTCACTTCTCTTGGCAGCTTGAGTACTTGAAGTCTAAATGATTGACCTTTCAGGTTGCTTCAACCAGGCTGTCTTCATTTTTTGTGTGTTTACAAAATAACCCTAAAGTAGCAGGGATATTTCCATCCAGTAACCGTCCACATGCACTGTCACAGCTAGGACGGAATTACACATCAGGAACTTCATGACAAGTAGTGTCTTTCTGTGGACAGCTTTCATAGTTTCTTCACTCTTCCTACATAGTCCTGTAAGGAATTTTTATTAGTGTGCCAGTATGGAAGATACAGCCTGAGAGAAAACCAACTACATTATCTTTTACCATTTGTGAGATGGTAGTAATGTATCTACCAATATAGCCCAATTACCACCTGAGCTCCAGTTCTAGTTGAAAACAATAGTACTGGCTTCCAGAAACACCTCTTTTCATATATACAAACACAAATACAGATATAGATACAGACTCATAAAAATTAAATAATGCACCTTTTCAAAAACATTTTGAAATTATGATATAGTTACAATATATCTCCCTTCCCTTTCCTCTGTCCAAACACTTCCATATACCATCCTTTTTCTCTTTCAAATTTATGTCTTCTTTTGTTATTAATTCTTTCTTGGGGGGAGAGACAGGGTTTCTCTGTGTAGCCCTAGCTGTCCTGGAACTGGCTCTCGTAGACCAGACTGTCCTCAAACTAAAAGAGATCTACTTGCCTCTGCCTCTAGAGTGCTGGGATTAAAGCCATGTGCCACCATCATCTGTCTTGTCATTAATTCTTATTGCATGCATATATGTATGTGTAGTCTTTGTCCCTCATTCAGGAAACTTCTCTTTGCAATAGATGGAGACAACTACAGAAATCCACAACATATCAAAATGAAGAGTTGTGGAACCTAGGCCCAGGGAATATATTTACAAAACACTCTCACACCTAAGGTTCAGGAAACACTTCAGAAGAGACACAAAAGATTGTAAGAGCAGAGGATCTAGGAGATTTTTGTGACACATGCTAACATTGTTCGGGGAAAGACGGTGAGACCTCAACAACACACAAAGAATTACAGGCAACTAAAGAATGCTGAGAACTGGATAAATAGTCTTCCCTAGGGAAGAATATATCAACTGGTTATACAATAAATCCTCTTATGAAGAAAATGTGCATAAAATAATTTAAAATAACAATCCCATCTTAGATCTTGGATCTCTAAAGCTTTTTCTTAATGGAAATGGGATGTGTCATAATCTGTCACGATATGTCTCCTGCCACCCTTTTCTTCACCCTCTATAGTAAGTTTTTATATGTTACAAACCCAAGTCCTTCTCTACTAAATTAGTCCCTTCTTCTCTTTGAGAATTCTTTCCTGGCTTTAGACTTTCCCTGGGTCTGTAGAAGCCTTCCATGGCACCTACTTTCCTCTCTTGAGACCTTTTAGTTTTCAGAGATACTCAGGTATCTCCCTGGCTTCCCCTCTCCCACAAACCCACTAAACATTTTTTTTTTTTTTAGCAATGAAGTAAAATAGACAAGACAAAAATGACTTTTTGATTACTGGGATGAATGATCTTTATTAAACAACCTGTGTTTTCAAGGACCATCCCAGTACTCATGTGCAGAAATAGGGCATAGGGGACACACAGGATCACTGGACATCTGGAGAAAGGGCTCAGTGGTACTTGTGGGACAGAGCAGTGGCCACCCCAGCCACCAGCTTCTGCCAGGCAGCCTGCACCTCGGGCGTGAATTCCTTGCCGAAGTGACTTGCCAAAACAATCACCAGCACGTTACCCAAGAGCTGTTTGAGGAAAGACAAACAAATTGGTGTGTTAAATGCAGGTTCTGAAAAGACTATGCATGAAAAACAAAGAAATGTCTTGAGACTATGCTGTAACATTCAATCATCTCTGATGAGCTTTGTTCTATTGTACATCTGTCTTTCCAGTCACCACTGCTCTGAGTGAATTCTCACACTTTCTCCTCTTCCCAGTATATTTATTTGCCTTTCTTGTTACTTTTCCCATTCACCAATTGTCCAATATATTTAAATACAGAATTTCTGTGCTACAAGTGCCCTTAGTGTAGTTTTAAAACTACCACCAATGTAGAAACAAGCCTCCACTTGTCCCAATATTCACTTGGGATTTTAATATATTTATATGTTGTTAATGGAGAAAGTGCACCTTTAAATTTTACCCCAAATCTTTTCTTCAACATCAACCATTAGGACCTAAAGAAGTTAAGCTATTTTCCCTTTCCAGATTCCATTTCTTCCATTAGATCTGCTATTCTTTCTCATTATTCTCCATGATCAGTACAACAAACTTCTATCATGACAAAATTTTCTAAATGCCTGTAACTAATTTAGGTTTCTTCCAACCATTCACTGTCATCCTGCCTAGACCAAAGAATTTTTAGATCTATGTTAGCATCAGCATCACTCATATTCTCAGGTTCCATTTGTGTCTCTGAGACAAATGCAAAATAAATGTGTGAGCTTGCCCCGAACTCACCTTGAAGTTCTCAGGATCCACATGAAGTTTGTCACAGTGCAGTTCACTGAGCTTAGCCAAGGCAGCCTTGAGGTTGTCTAGGTTCTTAATGGCATCTCCAAGAGAAGTCAGCACCTTCTTGCCATGGGCTTTGACCCTCGGGTTGCCCATTATAGCAGAAGCAGAGGACAAGTTCCCAAAGCTGTCAAAGAATCTCTGGGTCCATGGGTACACAACAAGAAGTCTATGAAATAGGAAAAAAGTGGAAAATCAGGGATCCTCAGAATTCCTGACTTTCCTGGTGATTTGTCCAAGGTACTATTCACCCTTCTCCCAGATGAATCGACAACCAATTCTTACCTTCCCAAGGCTTCGCCACCAATGTCTTCAACATTCACCTTACTCCACAGGCCATTGATGAGACCCTTTTCCTCAGCAGTAAAGTTCACCATGATGTCAAATCTGAGAGCTTGCTGGTGATCACAGGAGTGTCAGAAGCAGGTACATGCTGTTGTTAGAAGTGGTGGCCTTTTATTCTTCACAGACAATGTTCTGGCCCTTTGTTCTGCATAATGCTTTGAAGCTATTGGTCAGCTTGACCTGTGGTCCTCATGGGTGGAGCCAGATCACGGGAGGGTCAGCAGTAACTGTATACTGAGTTTATGATAATACATTTTAGATATGGGGCCATTTTTTTCCTTTTGACTCCTCCTTCAACGAAAACTTTTTTTTTTTACTTATTGTTTTTTCTTTCTCCTTTCTCCCCATGTAAACTTCTAAGGTAAAACTCATTTCTTTCATCACATTTTCCAATTTACTTATTGTTTTTTCTTTCTCCTTTCTTCCCATGTAAACTTCTAAGGTAAAACTCATTTCTTTCATCACATTTTCCAACAAAGGCACAGAGAAAGGAGTTTAACCCACTATAGAAAAAAAACTTCAAGTCTAAAATAACTTTAACATTTTGGAAAAGAATGGTTACAATGATAAGAACAAACTCAAGGGGGAAAAATGTTTGTGCTATGGACACAGAATTACATCTAGTTCTTCTCTTGGGAGATGTGGGCTAAAACTGCATCTTCTAGATATGTGTTACCCCAAGTGGACAAGAATCATATATGGTTACATCTATCAGATGAATACAGTAGCAAAGGATTGACAATGAGACCAATGACTCAATTCCAAAATACACCAGGGAGTAACACCATGGAGAAGATGGATACAAGTTCACCTTCTGTGCTTCTGGAGTCCTCTGATGGTTTCTGTGGACCTTGGCTCCTTTGGGAATATTGCCCTGGGCTCTTTTCTTGTTTATCTTCATATAGACATTTCTCATCTGTGAGACTAAACTAAAAATTACTTTAAAGTAGGTCTTGTGATCCAACAGGAAGGGATGAATTGACACACCAATCACCTTGAGAAACTTTTAGGGCTATTCAGTCTTCATTATAGCCAAAGGTTCGGATCACTAGTGTGCTTGATTTCTACTCATGTCTTGGGATTGCTTGTCAGCTGTTATATGTTGGACCTGAAGTTAGAAATCTACCTTTGTATGCATTTAAATTGCATCCATGTGCATGAAAGATAGTCTCTATATCTGGTAATATAATTATCATTACCCACCCTTTATCAAAATGAAGGAACAAAGTCACAAAGGTGATATAACTGTAAGGTGGCAGAACTGATGCCTGAGGGAGGGGGGTTATAGATGTGTACACAATTCAGCTTTCCAATCTACAGAAAAGTTATCCTACAATGTCATAGTCCAGTTGCCTTTCCAAGTCCCTGTCTCTGGACAGTTCTGCATGCATTCTACTCTTCACCTCCTCTATTGTTTTATGTTCCCAATAGCTCTGAAAGTTTCTCTTCCAGCAGATTTCATTTTGTTTAGTTTAGTCTATTTTTCATTTAACAATGTAGTTTTTGCGTCTCAAGTCTTCATGTTCCAAGTTTACCCAGGGGCTTTTCTCTCTGGCTTGCCTTGGCTTTTATGGTGCCTCCTTATGTGTATAACATAACCATTTCTGACACATGAGAATACCTCTCTTTTCTTTCTACTATGATCGCCAACTTTTATCTAATTTAAAGTCTTCTCAAATTGGCCTTTTAACAAACCATTGAATCTCATCTATTCCACCCTCAGTTTTTAACCTACTATATCTTTTGGATACAGATCTAACCAATGACCAATATATGAACTTATCTTCTTCATGACATAGACTAATTGGACAGACTGCTAGCTACTAAATTTGTGTGCATAAAATTATATACATAGGATTGCCAAGAATACCAATGTAGTTACCATACACACATTGAAATAGCTACATTTGGTGTAATGTTGTATGCACTTCCTCATGAACACATTAGATTTAGTAGTAGATCCATAGTGACCATAATATCTATTTCATAATGATTAGTGGTAAGGGTATCTATAATGACTATAGTATAATATTTTAAAAATGCTCTGTGGAGATAATTTAAGATTTTCTTGATTAGAATAGACAACTGAGGAAAAAATTCTGGGTTGAGAAATATGTTTCATCATTCAAGAATAAGACTAAATAGACAACAACAACAACAACAACAACAACAACAAAAAACCGGCTGTATGCCAGACTGAGTTATACAGCAAGACCCTTATCTCAAAAACCCAAATCTGAGAGGCTCAAACAATACAGTGTTTGCTCAGCATGTACAAAGTCCAGGGATTGGATCCACTCCTAAGGGCTGTCCACATTTTTAAAAGAAAGACTCAAAGATTTTGCTAATTTTATATGCTATAATATAGGAAATTGAAAAATGTGTTATTTGTAGTAAATTATTTGCAGTAAAATAACCCTTTCAATGCATGTTTTTAGTGTTACCCAGTGTTACCCAGGAAAAATGTTGTCTGTAATTGTTCTTCACCATGAATTGTTTTAAAATAAAAAAATATTAGTGAGGTTTCTGAACAGGAAAAAGTTGTTTGCAATTCTTACTAAAAGAAACAGTCACTTATTTTGCTTCCATTGAATGTTTACATTCATATCCCTGTAACAGTAATAAATGGGATAGAATAATTCCATTAAGTGTTACATTAGTGATGAATGACTTACAGACTAACAGCATCAAGGTGGCATCCCCACAGAAAGCCTACACTATCCCTAATGTCACTGCAGAAAATAAGGAACAACCTATGGGCAGTGTCAGATGCACTTAAAGTATCATGTTTCACAGCAGGTAGAGATATGTCTGAAACTCAGAGTGACTTCTCTCTCTTTTCAGTTCAGAACATAGACACCTGCTTAGATGACCTCTAAGGCTACACTAAGTAAACCAGGAAGAGATGTGTATGGCTTTTAGTTGCCCATAAAGGTTTTTACTGGGAAGAGGAAATACAAAACCACAGCTGGCCAGTTAGTCTTCATTTCCTTCAGCTATGGAACTTGAAGTTCATACTTAAATCTGGTAACCTAAAAAAAGTCATAAATGCCCTATTTTCTTCCAAACTGTCACTTTGTTTTCTTGGTTTCTTTAGTATGTTTTTATTGCTGTTGTTTGTTCATTTGTATTTTTTAACTTAAGTTCTTAAATAAATAAAGTTGTGAAGTTGTCTGTTTTCAAGGTCAAAATTCTGGAGAACTCTTGTCTTTTTGTGTGTGTGTTGAATAATCTCACCTCTTGCATTCTATAAACCAGATTAAACTACCAAATTGACCCTCTGACATAATCAAAAAGACAGATACTCTTATCAGGGTGGGTGCTTTTTGTTTTCAGTTTTTCCCCTTCAGTTAACACCACTACCTTAGGGAATGACCAAATTTCATTGTTTTTAACCAGTTAATAGTTAAGTCAATTAACAACTGATGAACTTTATTTAAATGTAGGCCCTCTTAGGCATACACTAACTAAATATTTGAATAATTTCTAAATAAGGTTTGCGCAAAAGCTATTCTTCTAGTTCTATCCATTTGCCTGCAGATTTCAGGATTCCATTGTTTTTTCCCGCTGAGTAGTACTCCATTGTGTAAATATACCACGTTTTCTCTATCCATTCTTCAGTTGAGGGGCATGAAACCATCCTCAGTGAGGTAACCCAATCACAAAAATATAAACATGGTATGTTCTCATTTTTGATTTTTAGATATAAAACAAAGGATCACTAGTCTACAATCCACACTGCCAGAGGAGCTAGGAAACAAGGAGGACCCCAAGAGAAGATTGCATAGTCCCTCGATGAAGGAGATGGGGACAAGAACCCCTGACCAAATTGGAGCCCAGGGGCAGGGAGAGGAAGAAGAGCCTTCATCCAGTTGCTGCTCGAAGCAGAAACAGACACCCATAGCTAAGCACTGAACCATACTACTGGAATTCAGTTGTGGAGAGGGAGGAGGGATAAGCAAAGGAGCCAAGACTGGGCTGGAGAGACCTGCAGAAACAGTGGACCTGATAGCATGGAGACCATTGTCATAAAGCTGGGGAAACAGTATTGGACCAAACCAAGCCCTCTGAATGAGGTGCCAGCTAGGAGGCCAAGACAGTCTATGCGACCTCTGACAGTGGAGTCAGTCTTTATCCCTAGAGCACAAATGGACTTTGGGGGCCCATTCCCTATGGCGGGATACTATTGCAACCCAGATACAGCAAGGATGGCCTAGATCCTCCCCCAAAAGATTTGACAGACTTTGAAGTTCCTTGGTGGAGGGCCTCACTATCCCTGGGGAGGAGTTGGGGCATGGGTTGGGGGAGTTGGGGCAGGAACATGGGAGGATGGGAGGGTGAGGGAATGGGGAATGGATATGTAAATATGAGTAGTAATTAGAGAATTTAAATTTAAAAGAGCTCTTCTTACAAGCAGAAGTTAGGATTCTATGTCTAGATCTATTAGAAATGTCCCTCCCCCCCCCTTGTGCTTAGGGTCTATCTGAATTCTAGCTGACAAGGTGAAAGATCTTTCAATTTGGTAATTTTTGAAATCTAAGAAAAAGGGAAAAATAGTATACCTTCCCTAGGCATACCTCTTCAGCATTTGTAGTGTCCTATATGGAAGTTATAGCATAGGGTAATTCCTGAATTGCAAACTCACATCTCTCTGAAGAAATGCAAAGGTGTGAGGATTGGCCAAGTAAACAGAGATTAAATGACAGCCACCCTGACAAAGGCCAGACCCCATCCCTTAGCAAGTCGTCCCCAGTGGGGATTGTGAGAAAAACAACCATGTGCTAGTTGTCCCTGAGATTGGCAAGATTTAATGATTGCCCCAAAATTTGTAGCTCAAAAGAGTTATTCTGAGTGTAAGTCATCTCAGCCTCTGGGTTGCTGAGTCTGAGGTATCCAGGAAGGGAAGAAGCCTTCCTTTCTCAGGATCCTAAACAGCTGCTGAGAGAACATGTCCCTATACTCCAGCCTCATTCAGGCCTGTGTGGTGGTTTCTCACAAGCCCTATTTACTTCCTGCAATCTCCTCCTTCTGT